AAAAAAAGTTCTGCTCCCAAAACATGCGATGGTAGCCGAAAAACGAGAGAAAATAACCGATTTTTGACAGTTGTTTCGATTATGGAGGGGTTTTCGGGGGGGTCCCCATGATTGGTCGAGAGGTCAAATTTGGATTCTCGTTAAGAACTCCCTATAGATGAGAAATTATATGAGAAAAAAATTTCTGCTCTCAAAACGTGCTCTAGTAGCAGAACAACGAGAGAAAATAACCAATTTATGACTGTTTTTTTGATGTTGGGGGTTTTCGGGGGGGTTCCCATGATTTGTTGAGGGGGCAAATTTGGATTCTCGTTCAGGACCCTCTGAAGATGAATAATTTCACCCTACTTCATATGATTCTAATCGATTTCATGCAATCTAGGCAATCCTGAACACATATCTTGAGGGGCAATCTCAAAGTATGCGAAAACGTCCGATGTCCATTAATTTTCTTCTTCCGCCGTCACGTAACTCTCACTGAAGCCTCGAAGAAAAGAGAAATATTTTTTTTTGTGTTACTGGAGGTCTGACATTATGTTTTACTCTAGTTTAAAGGTTTTTGGAGAGGTCAAAAATAATGGTTTTTGGGCAGATTTTTGCAATGTATGTGAAAACGTCCGATGTCCAAAGCCCTTTTTTTAAAATTACTCAGCACTGATTGGGAGTTGGAATGGGACACAGTTGTGTGCCTTTTCTACAACCCTTTACTAAGAAACACATGCCTTGATTTTCTTCAAAACGCCGATTCTGAAGGCCTCCACAGTTTTTTGCGGTTTACCAAAAGTTGATTTTTTGGACATCGGACGTTTTTGCATACCTCGATTCAATTTATTCCGGAGAGTCTACGTCAATTTGGCGACCAAAAAGAAATTCTGGAGAGGGCCACTGTCCTCCTCTTTAAGGGATCATTTTTGAGCCTAAAAAGGACCGATTTTGGATTTTTAGGGGTCAATTTCACGTGAAATATTCCGTTCTTTTCAATTTTAATGCAATCAAATTTTAATTCTATTGGGTAACCCAACTTTTAAAATCCTGACCCCGCTTTTACCCCCAAGAGCGGCTGGGAGGGGGGGGGGTTAGGGACCATAAAATTCTGATTCCTTGGGGTCAATTCCTTATTCAACTTCGTGGTTGCTGTCTTTGTACGACCTAAACCAACTGCAAAAAAGGCCTGATATGGGTGATCTGGGACACCATGTATATCCTATGATTTTTTTTACTGTTTAGGCTTTGAACTTCTTGGTTAATTTGGTTTATTAAGGTGACAAAGGTCAGCACCGCAAACTTTACGAAGTATAGATGCTGATGTGAGCATTTCTGCAACATGTGACTTGCACTATTTCTATGGTAAATGAGTGCCGAGTATTTTATTTTATTTTGCTTCAGATTAAAAAATTGTACAAGGTGCAATACTTCACATTTATGGAACAAGTGCCCTGTTTTGATGAATTTTTGGAAGAAAAATTCTCATATATCCTCGTTTTCATTTGTGTTTCAGAAATTTGTCAATATTCAACTGAAAGAGGGGTATTTTTTTAAAATATTCAGTCTAAAGAATCCGTTTTAGAAATATGTGTATTTTGATTTTTTTACCTTCATTCCACCCCAATCCCCTCTTCCAACTTCTTTTTTTTTAAGGCAGGGGGAGGGGGGCTGAAATTTTTTGAAACAACTTGTGGCTTGTAGTTCTATCTGAATACAAACTTCGATGATAATCTACAGGTTGGCAGAAAAAAACTGTTTTAGAAAAAAGCATCAACCTCTTTCATGTCAAATTTTTTCATTAATTTTGCCTTGCCAGAAGAAAGGGGGAAAATGGTGGTGCCTGTTCTCTTTTTCAATCGCTAAAATAACAGCTTTCATGAAATGCTTTTACCTCAAAACACACACAGGACCAAATAAAATTAACACATGAGGAGTAATATACTGAAAATATCCTTTCTTTTTTCAAACTTTAGTTATTTTCTTCTTTGCTAGGTTCGAGATGAAGAGCTTGATGAGTTGGACACACTAGTGCATCAAAACTGCGAATATCCTGTCTCAGGGGGAAGTGAAAACTTGCATGGTAAAGTCAACATCTTACTTCAGACGTTCCTCTCTAGGGGGCGGGTGAACGCGTTCTCACTCATATCAGATTTAGCCTATATCACACAGGTAAAGTTAATAAAAATAATATTTATGTTGTATGTAGTGTTTAAGTTATTCAACTCATTATGGTAACTTTATACCTACGCAATGCATGTACAGGATGATCCATAAGTCCTTTTTACCTAACTAAAGTAAAAATTTGAAATCTGAGGGATGCTCCCAGGTCAAAAGGAGCCACTTTTTTGCCCTCCCAAAATTTTCATAGGGCTCCTTGGNGGGGGGGGGGGGGACGGGCTCCAGCTTTTTTTTAAATGGAAATTTGTCTTTTCTGATACCTTGTTCAAAACAGGATAGAAAAAGAAAACTTTTTGCGCAAACCTGTAGTGTATATCTCAAATTGTTTCAAAGTGGTGCTCATTTAAAGTTCAAGATGACCGAAAATTGAGAAGTCCGGTTCAAAAAGGGCATTTCTTGAAAAACTTTGTTTTAAGGTACAGTGAAACCTCAATAACTCGGTTTCCATCGGGACCGAGAAAATTTACCGAGTTAAGCGGGTCACCGACTCACACGAACTGCCACTTTTCCTGCCGCGCTTTTTCAAATTTCGCGCCCTAAATTGAACAAACGCAAACGTGCGTGTAGAGTGACTTAAAGGAGTGTTTTGAAGAGCCATTTGATTGAAGAAAATTGTACTAAATAGTAAAATTTCATGAGATGCACTTGAAATTGCAAGTTGAAAGTGTCAGGGCATCATGAAGTCATTGGGTTAATCGTTTGTTGGGGTGCCGCGCGGTGATGCGCCGCGGCCGCCCGCTATGGCGGGTCGTTGCACTGAAAATGCAACGTAACAATACTCGCTAAAATCCTCGAAAAACTCGGCGGAAGATTCCTGGGGGGAGCGGGGAAGGGCAATGCAAGATGGTAGGGGGAGAGGGGCTGGTGCCGACTGGATCTGTCAACTCATCGATGCGTGAAATCGCTTAATTATGCATGCGTGTCATCACACGCGCGATAAGATAAACAAGCGGTATCAGATAACCTATTCTCCACTGTTCTTATCTTTCGTGATGTTATCGAGTGTTTTTGATTCCTTATCTCTCGCACTGCGCTGCGCTCTCTCGGAGATTCGCTCACCCTTCGTGGCGTAACTTGACCCGACCCGCACGTAAACACTACCTACGCTTGATCACGGGTGACGATCGAAGAAAAACAGGTCGAGATGGAAAAATTTCACCGAGTTAAGGGGTTTCAGAATCTGACCAAACCGAGCTATCCAGACTTATTTAGCATTGTGTTATATGGGTGATAAACGGGACCGGGCGATTCTACCGACTAAAGCGGGTTACCGGCTTATCCGGGAACCGAGTTATTGAGGTTTCACTGTATGAGCAATTGAAAATTTGAATGTTAGTCCTGGCAACATGTTCGGCCAGATGCTGTTCAATTGTTTTTTCATGAAAATATGAGTCCTAAGGAAGGTACTTACCGCAAGCTATCCAATTGGGGATATCGGGTTCGACGCACCCGCGGAGCTGAGTCATGTGTAGGCTGCCCCCTTCTGGGGCCGCATAAGATCGGGTGCCTCGAGGGCTGAGCGAGACGTAGCTGGTCTGCCCTCCCTGCCCTCCAGTTCTCGGCTCCAGAGCCCTGCCGTGGGTATGTCGCAGGGTTTGGCGCAAGCTGGGCCTAGGCTCTCCTCCTACGCCCTTGACTCCGGGTACAATGATGGCTTCGGCAGATCGGTCCCGGGAGATGGGGGGACCCTCCCTTTAAGTGGGGGGGCCTGAGGGGCCCCGGCTAAACCGGGGCCGGGGTCGGGGACTGCCGTTCGAAGAGTGCCTTAGGGACGTCCGACGGGAGGATAGAGCGTCCGATGGGCCACACTTGCACGGGGTGTGGCCCTCGTTTAGTGGGTACGGAACACAGCGGCGTGCTTCACCCCCACATAACCGGGTCTTCCCATCTCACAGCGGTCGGGTCGGTCAGGGGTCGCTTCGGCGGCTCTTCGCCAGCTGATGGTCGTTGCCGTCCCGGTATTCGGTGGGCCCTTTTCATGAGGGGCGTCTTGGCGACCCTCATGATGGGGGCACTGTAGCGAATTTTTCCCCTCATCACAAAAAAAAAAAAAAAAAAAAAAAGGAAGGTACTGACTGTTGCAATTCTTATTTGATAATAATTTTTTAGTTGAAAGAAATAACAAAAAATACCAATTGAAGTGCCCTTTTTGCATGGAACAAAAAAATTATTGTTATTAAATAATTTTTCAACTTTTCGAAACGTCTTATCACCGGAATTAAGTACATTTTCCGCACCCTTACACGGTTGCAGCGTGACCCTTAGTTCCGAAAGTCCGCGTGTTATCTCTCTTTTTGCACATCATCATATATATAAGCTCCAAGACCTCCTAATTTTGCGTAACCGGTGACGCTTAGTTCCAGCGTTCTACCAGGCCGATTTTAATGATTTTTGCGGCTATCGACGGGCAATTGTCTCTAGATAAGCCAAC